TTTTTATTTCGTAGCTTCCTGGGTAAGCCTTGATTAGTCATTAATGTAATATGTTTATATAATGTCATTTATCACCTAGCTAGAAGTTTGGAGTAAAAAGTTAATTTCTTCAGTGTTTCGCCCTCAAATCTTATTCTGCATCTCTATCGTTGATGATGCAGTAGAACACCTAGCATGTATAAAAGAGCCAGACTAACACCTCTTCTGTTTCACATGAGTTGGGAACTAATGATGAAACTTGTCAATCACCAATCTCTTCTAAAATTATACTTGTAAGAGATATAGGAAAGTAAACTGTTCTACCCAATTTTATTGTTGGGGGAAAAAAAAGAAAGGACGTTGATAAACCAAAGAGGAGGTGGCCCCGAGGATAGAGAAAGGCCTTGAGGTCTTGTCACATGAAGAGAAGCTGAAGGAATGAGCAATGTTTAGCCAGGTGATGAAAGACTTAGAAGCAACATGGTAACTAATTGCAATATTTAAAGGGCAATACGTAAAGAATTACACTTGTCATTTTTGTCCTCAGAGACCTACTCAAAAGGCGAATGAGCTGCCTCGAGTGGGGTAATAACAGCAAGATCAAGAACAAGTAGCATTTATACAGAGCTTTACAAGCATTCGACCCTCCACTCTCAGGGCACTGATCTAGTGTCTTATTATTACTGAATCCTTTGCGTCCTTGCCCTACCGTCTCCACACTGCCAAACCTCATCCCTGAACACCTCCCACTGTCTGTTGCCTTCATTCCTATTCACATGCTGTTGAATTGGAGGAAGTCATCCAACCATGCTAACTAGATCCACTCAATCTACTCTTATTTTATCTAATGGCAGCTGAGTCCTCACTGCTGCAAGGCAATCCTTTTAGTCCTAATTTTATTCTCTATCCCACTCGCCATAATTCATATTATGAACCTTGTCTTTTTTTTCTCAAGTCTCCCACATCACTCCCTACCCCCACACTCTCCATGTGGCTGAAAACCTTGCCTCATACTTTACTAAGAAAACTGGAGCCACTTGCTCTCAGCTGCCTTTACTCCCCTCTTCCTCTCACATCCCCCATTATTTCCTGCTCTAGTCTCTGACACCAAAGTGGCCCTTCTCCTCTTTAAGGTCAGTGACTTTACATATGCCCTTGATCCCATCCCATCTTCCTCATCAAATTGTCCCCAATGTAACCCTCACTCTCTCATTATCTAACCATCGATTTCTCTGTATCTATCGGTTCCTTCCTTGCTGCCTATAAATACACAATTTACCTCCGTAAAAATGAGTCAACAGCTTGGTTAAGGAGACATCAAAAATACTGAGGAAAAGAATACCTTAAAAAAATAACCCAGGCCACCTACATCCTTCACAAGAAAACTCTCACCGGATGTTACCATCCCCCCCAGACTCTATTCTGTATCTTCCCTCCCCTTCTCAGCTAGCCAACAAGTCAGTCAACAAGCATTTTTCAACATCTCCCATGTGGCGGCACTGTGCTAAGCACTAGTAACACCAAGAAAAGACAGCCCCTGTTTTCAAGGAGCTCACAGCCTGATGAAGGAGAAAAAGATCCGTTTGATCTTCGATCTTCTCAAGTGCTTGAAGAAGTTCTCTGTACTTAATGCTACATTTCCTCTTCTCACATTCTCCTCTAAACTCTGCACTTTGGCTTTCTGCCTCGTCATCCACCTGAAACTGCTCTCTTCAAAGTCGCTAATGGCTCTTAACTTTCAGATTTAAAGGTCTTTTCCCGTCCTTCATCCCTCTAGACCTTTCTGTAGGCTTTGAGTTGACCATTCTCTCTTCCTGCACACTTTCTTCTCACTGGACTGCACTTTTTCAATCCCCTTTGCTGAATCATCCGTGTTAAACCCTGTAAGTGTGGGTGCCCCCCAAGGCCCTGTCCTGTGCCCTCTTCTCATTACTCTCTGTGCTTTTGGTTACTTCATTAACTTCCATGGGTTCAGTGGTCACTTCTCTACAGAAGATTCCTAGTTCTATATATCCAGCCCTACTCTCTCTCCCAAGCTTCAGCCCCACGTCACCAACTTCCCACAAGCTATCTCAAAGTCAACCCACCCAAAACAATTTCTTATCTTCTTCCCAAACCCATTCCTCTTCCACACTTCATAGCTACTGACGAGGGTCTTACTACCCTCCCATTCACCCAGAGTCAGAACGTTGGTCTCATCCATGACTCTCACTTTCATCATCACATAAAGCCAATCAGTTGACCATCTCATTTCTTTGTCCACTCTCTTCTCTCCACACATTCCTACTTTATGTCTTTATCACTTCTTGCTCAGACTGTTGCAGCATCCCCCTAAGGAGTCCCCATCCTTCAAGTCTGTTCCCACTCCAGTCCATCCTCCACTTGGCTGCAAAGGGATCTTTCTAAAAGCACAAGTATGACCCCCCTACACACACTCAATAAACTTCAGTGGCTCCCTATGGAGTCCAAGATCAAATAGAAACTCTGTTTGGCATTTAAAGCTCTTGCAAACCTAGCATTTTCTTATTTCTCCAATCTTCTTAGTAAATAACTAATATTTACATAGTTTCTGTGAAGTTTGCACAGAATTTTACATGTCTCATGTCATTTGATGCTCACAACAGCCCTGAAAAATAAGTGTTATTATCATCCCTGTTTTACAGGTGAAGAAACTGAGGCTGAATGATTTGTCCAAGGTCACATATCCAGTAAGAGTCTGAGGCAGGATCTGAACTCAGCTCTTTCTGACTCCAGGTCCAGTGTTCTTTCCACTGCACCAACTAGCTTTCTTTTTTAATGCACCACTCACTTTTCCATACTCAACTGGCCTTCTTACTGCTTCTCATGCCTGGCACTCAATTTCCCACCACTATGTCTTTGCATTGACCAGCCCTCATTACTGCAATTCATTCTCTCTCTCTCTCTCTCTCTCTCTCTCTCTCTCTCTCTCTCTCTCTCTCTCTCTCTGTCTCCCTCTCCTTCTCTCTCTCCCTCTCCCTCTCCTTCTGTCTCTCTCTGTCTCTGTCTGTCTCTCTTTGTCTCTCTCTCTGTCTCTCTTTGTCTCTATCTCTCTCTGTCTCTGTCTCTGCCTCTCTGTCTGTCTGTCTCTCTCTCTCTCTCTCTCTCTCTCTTCTCTCTCTCTCTCTCCTTGGAACCTCTATTTTTACAACAAGCTTCAGCTCAAGGATCACCTTTTGCAGGAGGCATTTCCTGACACCCCTTCCCCTTGGCTGTTCATGCCTTTCCCTGTCTGGTTTTTTTAATGTGTCTCATATATGCCTACATGTGTACCTGTTGGTTCCCTTGTTAGAATGTAAGCTCCGTGACGTGGAAAGGCTGTTTTACTTTTGTTATTGTATCCCGAAGGACTAGCTCAGTTGATTGGAAGCAGTGCACTGCAATGGCAGTTGGAGAACCTGGGCTCAAACCCCACCTCTGATGCGTCGTAGCTGTGTTACTTTGGACAAGTCATTTAGTCTCCCTGCATGTCAGTTCCCTCATCTATAAAATGGGAGGATGGGTGGGCTAAATGGTCTCTTTTAACTCTAGAGCTATCATCCTATGAGCCCATAATTGAACTGGGAAGGTAGTCTCTAGTGCAGTGCCGCAAGGTTCTGTTCTTAGCCCTGTTCCGTTCAAGCTTATTTAGCAATGATTTGGACATTGATGGCAGACTTAGATGGCATACTTGGAAAATTTGTGGAGCCTGAAATGAATTGCTACCATGTGGGATGAAGAACTATTATGGACTGAATCTAAGAAAATGAAACTCACTAGGGATAAGTATGAAGTACATTAAAAATCTCAACTGTCTAACTACCCAAGCTCTACACTGAATAATGATTGACAAGGTAACTGAGCCTCTGAGTGTTCTGAAGGCTCATGAAGCTAGGCCATCTTGGCCTCCATTCCCCGAAGTCTGCCTGGCCTCTAGAATATGGCATGTGGGAGCCGTTGTGGGCTCTATTCTGGGCAGACTTCATCAGAAATACTACGATCAGCTCTTGGGGCCATCTTTTGGAAAGGACTGTTACAGGCTCCACTGAGTCTACAGGAAAACAACCTGAGCTGTGCCATAGAGGTCGGGCAAAGGCACAGGAGATGTTTATTCTGGACCAGAGAAGACTTCGGAAGAGCTTAAGAGGTGCCAATTAAGTACTTGGAAGCTGTCATGTGGGAGAGGGATTAGATTTGTTTGATTTGGCTTCATGAGGGAGGGCTGGCGCCAGGGGATGGAAGTACCACAGGGACAGATTTCAACTGGTTAGAAAGAAAAACTTCTCAATACTTACACCTGTTGGACACTGCCTTGATATGTACTGAGCTGCCCATTACTGAAGGTGCTCAAAACATGGACTGGACGGGGGCAGCTAGGTGGCACGATGGCCCTGAAGTCAGGAGGACCTGAGTTCAGATCCGGCCTCAGACCAAACATTTACTAGCTGTGTGACCCTGGGCAAGTCACTTAACCCCAATTGCCTTAAAAAAACACATACACTGGATGACCACTTGTTGGGTGTTGCAGAAAGGATTCCCTCTCAGAAATATATTAGAAACAGCGGCTTCTGAGGACCCACTTGTGGCGCTGAGATGCCAGTGTGGTTTTGCAAGCTACACTGGCCACAATTTAAACCTGCCTTGATTCCAAAGGCATTTAGGACATCACAGAATGGACCATTATTAATGAATATCTGTCATTGTTTTATCATAGAAACGTGGAAATGGTGCTTGGCGGAAACCTGGGCACTGGAATGACCAGTAACAAAGAATGGTCTATCTGTTGCAATCATCCTAGAATATGTTTATGAAATGAAGACCAAGGTTCCAACGTGTCCAAGGTTTAATCATTTATTCTTCAATTACAACATTATTTCTCATAACATTCGAATCCATTCCATACAGGGGTAGGGCATCAGCAGGCTTGAGGCTACATACTGCCCTTTAAGTCCTCAGGTGCGGCCTTTTGACTGGGTCACAGTTCTACAGAACAAATCCATCTATGAAGGGGATTTGTTCTGTGAAGTTTGGATTCAGTCAAAGGGCTGCTCTTGAGGACCTAGAGGGCCACATGTGGCCTTGAGGCCTCAGGTTCTCCACCCCCATGAGAACATGAGTTTCTTGAGACCCAAGATCATGTTTTTGCCTTTCTTTCTACCTTCACAGTGTTTGGCACATAATAAGTACTTCATACGGACTTGTTGATCTACTGAATGACTGACAGATCCCTGGAGCTAAAAATTTTTTCCACAAAATTTTTTCCAAACATGTGTTTTACACAGTAAGAGTTACCTAGTATCTATATTTTCCAGCCTGTAAGTAGTCAGTATAACATGGTACATAGAAAACTGGCCTAAAGTCCAGAAAAACTTGGGTTCAAGCCTTGACTCTGACACATCCTGGCTGTGTGACCCTGGGCCAGTCACCTAACCTCTCAATGCCCTGGATGGCTCTCTAAGACTGAATTTCAGAACAATGGCAGATCTGCATTGGTAGACGGAGTTTCCTTACTGGAAGGTCCCTACCCCAATGAAATCATAAGTTTAGTCAAGGAGGGGAGAAAAGCGAATCAGACTTAGAATTCCATCTTCGGGTCCATCCATCTGATTCTTCCATGTTAGCTACAGAGTACTCCTCTTTGGGGTGAATGTTGTGCCCTTACTACCTGTAACCAGTCTGGAAATATTGCCTAGAATTCTTGGTTTAGATGCTCCCATGCAGAAGTTTTTTCTGGGAGGAGAAGGCCATGAGATCAGTGACTTGGGAAACAGAACCTCCTTTTCCATCTTCTCCAAGCTGACCTCCTACCCACACACAGACACATACGCACACACATACACACTCTCCATACACTCTGTAAGGAAAATAATCCTGTTTTCTTAAGGCAACATTCCATGGTAGATTTTTTAAAAATAAAACTTGGGACTGAGTCAAGAATTGCCCAGGCCCCCCAGAGATCCTTTAGACCAAGGTGTTCCCAGTACCCCCTCTTTCTTGAAGCCTACTCCCTACTAGCCAAACCAGAGCCAGATGAGCCTTCAGGGATCTGACAGGGCACTCAGCCCCTAAGCATTGAGCTTCCAGTTGGAAACAATCGCTCTGCCATCACTGCAGCCTGATCTTCTTGGGGGGATTTGTGGGGAATTGCCGAGAGTATAAGTGGGCCATGTACTGTATCTCGGGCATCACCATCCTCCAACACATGGCCATGGTCTCACTGTCTAAATGCTGTTTGAGATTGTAGCCCAGGATGTTGGCCTGCCCAGACTGGTAGGGCCTGAGCCTCACATCTTTGATCTGTGTCTTACTCTTCGGCTCCCCATCCTGGATGCAGATGTCCATGAGCTCCCGCTGCCTTTCCCTCAAGAGAGCCACTTCCTTCAGCAGTTTTTCAAGCCCAACAACCTCCCTGATTTTCTGCCAGAAGGTCCTGTTGAAATGCTGGTAAAGCTCCCAGTCCAGAGCACACCACTCCTTTGCTCTCTCCTGGCTCTCCCTGGCCAGCTTCTGGATCGTATCCTCACTCCGTGAGTTCAGCTTGAAGTAGACCACGTCGTCCAGATCCCAGTGCAAGATGTTTCTCAGGAGGACCATGGACTCATCAAAATACTCGGAAATCAGGATGAGCTGGAACTGCTGCTGGATCTCCCGGATCACCCCCCGCACGTAGTCTTTGCCACTTTCGTTGTTATCGTAGCCAAAGTCAAACCACATGTTATTCTTGGCATACATGTTTCTTATCGACAGGTTTTTATTGTAGTACCTCGGTGGAGATACCAAGAACTCATTCAGGCTCTTTGTCTTCTGAAAAGCAGGCACATGTCCTTTGTAATACACAAAAGAGGACTCCAGCTGGAAAACTGGGTTCCTCACTATGGAAAAGTAGAACGTGTTGTTCGGCATGACTTTGTGTACCTTTGGGGGAGGAAAAAACAGAAAAGACCATGAGCAGGTTTGGTTGATCGTGAAAGGATGCTCAGAGCCTGAAAAAGACCCTGGGTCAGGCCCCCAGGCAGAGGACGCCTAGCCCAGGCTGAGAGACATCGAGCAAAGTGTCAAGCACCGTCCTGGAGGAAATCACCATCTGGGGGCTGCAGCCACTGTCCAGATGCAACCCCCACCCCACCCCACCCCTGCAGGGGCCCGTGCAAGGACCTGACGAGGAGAAATGTGCTTGCTCTCACATACATTATGATAGAAATGAGGTGAACTGAGAGAATGAACCAAGAGGACCCCGTCCTTCTCCCACGACCTCCAGTCCCTGCACCCTTCAGTTCTCTCCCAGGCCAACACCCTCGCACTTGCTCCCCTTCCAACAGTATGTTACATCGGGTCACAAAGAATTGGGTACAACTGACTGACAGGAGCGGATTCATCTCCCATCGTGGCTCTTCCAAATCCTTCCATCCCTCCTCAAATTTCGTAGGCTCCCATGGCACCTGTCCTCTCCACCCTCTCAATGTGGAGCTTTGCCTCATCTCATCACTTAACCTTGGTTTGCCTTGATTTCCTCAACTGTCAAAAGGGGACAATAATAGCAGCAACCTCACAGGATTGTTGTGAGGATAAAGGAGATAATATTTGTAAAGTGTCTGGCACACCGTAGGTCCCTCTCCCCTTCCTCATCTCACATCTCTCAGATGCTTTCTGTCTATCTCCTCCATCATTCCTATCTCGCTTTACAAGGTGGCCCTTCTCCTTGCCAAGACTGACTCCTCCATGAGCATTCTTGACCCTGTCATCCCCTTCCTTCTCCAGCAGTCTGATCCTACCTATCACCCCACTCTCTAACTAATCCCCAGTGCTCTCCTGCCGAGTTGGCTGCATCTCTGTCTCCCTGCCTTTGCATTGGCTGTCCCTGATGCCAGGAATGCCTTCCCTCCCCACCCCCGCTTCATAGATCTCCTGACTTCCCTCAAGACTCAGAACAAGGAGGCAGAGCCAAGAGGCAAAGTGACTTCTCCTCTGCAAAACTCTTCTAAACACATCTAAAAAATGCAGCAGACCAAATCCTGCTTGGGAAATCCAGAAAAAGCCGGAGTTGTCTGTCTAGCCCAGCTCAATATAAGGAGACCAAGAAGGACTGTGGACACTGGGGATGGAGTTGGGCCAGGAGCACATCACTTGCTAGCTCTCTGACACCTGGGGAGAGTCTGGGTGCCAGGGCAAGAGGAGGTCCCAGACTCATATTAGGGCATGCCCATACTGGGACCCTGGAATGGGGAACAAGGGAGGACTGGAAACTTTGTCACCCACTACTCAGATTCAAGTAACAGATTCAGAGAGATCTGAGAGGTGGCCCTGCACACAGGGAAGGTATGCCCAGGTAGGGAGCCCCTACTTGGTCAGTGTACCAAGAAAGGAGGGTGTTCAGAAGCCAGCAGCAGCATTGCCGTGGCTCAAACCCCAGGCCCAGAACTGGATCTCATTCCCAGAATCTAGCCCAGCCTGCAGAGGAAACACCAGGGCAAAGGGAAGCCCAGACTATCACAAACTGTCCCATTTGGTCAGTGGTTTGGTTAGTTCTCCCGGACTGGGTTTTTGGGAGGCGGCCTTTCTTTTTTAGTCTTTATTACAAGGGCTGGCTCTCTGAGAAGACAAAGATGACATGAAGGTGGAATAGAAAGAAAAATATCAGGGCAGCGAGGTGGCACAGTGGCTAGAGCTCCAACCTTGGAGTCAGGAGGACCTGAGTTCAAATCCAGCCTCAGACACTTCACATTTACTAGCTGTGTGATCCTGGCCAAGTCACTTAACCCCCACTGCCTCACCAAAAAGAAAAAAGAAACAAAAATATGAGTTTTTAAAATAAATGTCCTGTCTACCTTTCATGAGTACAAAATCTCCCCATTCCCCCACCATTGGCTTTATACTGTTTCTTTCCCTACACCCCAATCCCAAGGTTCGCCTCATGCTCAAAAGACCCATTTCATTCATGGCTTGTAACAACCACAATTATGGTAAGTCGATTGGGTTCCATCATCATCACAGCAGCTGAAATTGCATATAGCCCTTCAGGGTTTTTTCACAAACTCAGGGTCACAGATCTAGAGAAGAAAGGAGGAGGAACCTGGGGGGCAGGGTAGGGACAGAGATGAGAATGAAACATAGGCTACAGCTAGTAAGTACCACGACAGAATTTGAACCCGTGGCCTGTAATTCCACAGCTGGAGATCTTTCCATTGGACAACATTGCCTCTCTAACATAATCTCAAAGAGCCTCAGTTTCCTTATCTTTAAAATGGCCCTTACCTCCCAGCGTTACTTTGAAGCTGAAATGAAAAAAGGTAAATAAAAGGATCTGAAAACCTTTCAATGCTCCTTCCCTTCCCCACTCCTGGGGCAAAACAATTGTGTAGACATGTTGTATTTACTTATCGCTATACAAGTTGTGTCCCCCCATTAGAATGGAAGCTCCTTAAGGGCAGGGGTCAGTTCAATTTGGTCTTTGTACCCCCAGCACCCAGTATGGTGCCTAGCACATAGTAGGCACTTAATAAATGTTTGTTGGATTAATAATAATAACAATAATAGCAATCATATAGCACTTTAGGTCTGCAACATATTTCATAAACATTATTTCATTTGGTCCTCACAACACCCCTGGAAGATAAAGGCTTTTATTATCACCATCTTACAGATGAGGACACTGAGGGAGGCAGCAGGTAAGTGCCCAAGGATACACAGCTAATAAATGTCTGAGGCTGGATTTGAACTGAGGCCTTTCTGACTCCAGAAACCAGATTGAATTGAACTGTTGTCGAAAGCATCTCCTTAGATAGATTTACAGACTTCACCTTTTCGAAGGGCTAGCAACAGGAAAATTGAAAGATAAGTAAAAGATATTCATGGGACGGGAAGGGCCAAGCAACAGCTTTCCTAAACTCTGTGGGGTTTTTGCCCCAGAACAGTCATTTGTGTGCCTTGGGCTGCAGGGAAGCAGCTCCTTCCATCAGGTAATTTCCACTTCACTGGGCAAAGGACAACAAGGTGGAAATTGGCACTCATCACTGTGTATTCAAGGATTAGCTGACCCTGTAAGATAGTGATGAAGGGAGGCTGCAAAGCCTCTTGCTCAGAAGGACACCTGAATCATAAAAGAGCTGGAATGAGGCCAGAGGAAAGAGGCCAAGATTCTGCAGTGGCTTGAAACCAAGCCATACAAGGATCAACAATTGAAGGAAGCAGGGATGCTTAACCAACAGATGGGAAGATGGGAGGGGAAACTCAAACTGTCTTCATTTGAAGATTTGTCATGTAGAAAAGGTAGACTTGCCCCATATAGATCCAGAGAGTGGATCAAAGATCAGTAAACAGAAGCCAGAGAGACAATCTGGGCTCAACAGAAGAAAAAAACAGGTGACAGGCAGCCTCCAGCACACAGCAGATGTGCGACCCTCATTAAGGCGTGTAACTCCTCAATACCCACACAATCTCTGAGTCTCAAAGAGTCCTTGAAGTTACCGGTCCCCTGAGCCAGGAGATCGTTTACTGGGAAAGGGTTCATTACTCATCTATATTCTCCAAATTAGCCCAGCCTCTCTTAGAATGGAAGCAGGGATTTAGCGGAAGGTCCTATAGAAGCAGTGTAGTGTAGCAGATAGAAAGTTGTCCTCAAAGCCAAGAAGACCTGGGTTCCAGTACTGTCTCTGACTGGCTCTGTGACCCTGGGCAAGTCACATCACTCCTCAGTATCTTAAGAAACTCTCTGAGACTCTAAGTAACAGAGAAGGTTCCAGCCTGTGCTAGTAGAGGGGTTTTTCCTCACCTGGGAGCTCCCTATGCCAATGAAATCATGGGTCCAACCCCTGTCCCTATCCCAACAGGGGTCACAGCCTTCAAAATAGGAAGATAAGCCAGGCCAATGTCATCTGTCAGAAGGAACAGATAATGACAATAGCTAGCATTTATAAAGCCACTTTAAGGTTACAAAACTCCCTCCTCCAAGAGGGACAAGGAGAGAGGTAAAGGATGGCTTGAAGCCCAAGGGAGGTAGCTTTAGGGACCAGGTCGATAGTCAGTCAATCAACAAACATTTGTGTATGTTATCACATCTCATCTTCGCAACAACCCTGTGAGATAGGTGCTGTCATTGTCCCCATTTTACAGATGAGGAAACTAAGGCAGGCTCACACAGGTAGTCAGCATCTGTGGTAAGTTGTGATCTCAGGCCTTCCTGTCTCCATACCACCTGACTTGAACATGACCTGGTTAAGAGCTGGTAATGCATGTATTACATGGGTACATGCAGTCTGGAACTTTAAGTTGATTGATTGGCACCTAAAGGTAGGCCGACTAGAAAAAAAGGGTCCAGGGAGGAAGTTGTGGGGGCCACATAGCAAGCAATCAGTCGACAAGCATTTATGAAGCCCCTGCTGTGTGCCAGGTACTATGCTAAGCTCTACAGATACAAAGACAGGCAGAAATAGGGCCCTTGCCCTTGAGAAGCTCCCAGTCAAAGGAGAAAGACAACACGGGCTCCTGCTAAAAGTTAGCATGTTCCCCTCAGCCTTTTCTTCTGCGAGCTCTCAGTCAACCTAGCAACTAATCCCTAGTTTGTGTATAAGCTCCTGCTGTGTGTCAGGCACATTGCTGGGCTCTAGAGACACAAGGACAAAAGTCAAGCAGTCCCTGCCTGCAAGGAGCTTGCACTCCAACGGGGGAATGACGTGACTACAAGGAATGATCTCAAAGCCCTTGATCTGAGGCAGGGGATCAAGTTGGACTGGAATTCGGGAAGGCCTGAGTTCAAATCCTGACTCAGACACTAGCTGTGAAACCATGTCTCTGAGCCTCAGTTTCCTCATCTGTAAAAGGAGAGGACCGCACTCAATAGATTTATGGTCTCTTCCAGCTTGAATGCTATGATCCATGATCCCATTCCTCTAAGGTCCCCTTCCACGCTAAATTGCTGACCCTCACAATCGGATCCCTCCCCAGCCACGATCGCCTTCCCGGCCTAGTGATCTGGCATCACCTAAATCTATCCCTTCCCCCTCCTAAAATTCTGACAGAGAACGGGGCTCTCAGTAACAGGTCACCATTCCAGATCAACCCCAGAAGGATTCTCCCTCATTCACCTGCCTTACTCAGCTTCCTGCTGTTAGAAGAACGACTACCTCCATGACTTCTCCACCCAGCTACCCTGCTGATGCTCACTGGTACCCAGCTTGAGCCAGGTTCACAAGTGGGATCGCATCTGCCGGGGTCGGGGCGTGGACCTCACCTCCGTGGGATTAAATCTCAGGTGATTGCACATGATGTTGAACGTCCCATGCAGGGTTTTGAATCCCTCCACATACTTGGTCAGAAAGAGCCAGGGGTAACCCAGGTGGAAAAGCTGCCCTGCAGGCAGGGCCACCGTGAGGTTCCACTTCTCTGTGAACCGATATAGGATGTTCATAACGGTGCTGCTGGCAGTCTTGTGGGTCTTGAGGAACATGACGTTGGTCACAGGGTGGAAGGATTCCTGGCCACTGAAGAAACTAGGGAGAGAAGAATGGAAGATATCTTCCATCAGTATCTAATGTTATTGTTCACTATAAATGAAAGAAAACCTTGGCTGAGAATTCTTCCAGCCTGTCCCTGTCCAGAGTTCCCACTGATTGCTGGTTATCTCTGCCTGGAGGCATCTCAGATTTAACATGTCCAAAATGGAACCGTCACCCTCTAAACTTCCAGCCCCTCCAAACTTCCCTGTTTCTGCTGAGGGTACCAACATCCTTCTAGTCTCTGGGTTTGAAGCCTAGAATCATCTTAGATTCCCCATTCTTCCTCATCCCATATAACCGACCAGTTGCCAAGTCTTGTAGATTCTATCTCCACATCTCCTGAAATGCCTTTCTCTGTCCTTCCAACCTTCCCACTCCTTCATTCACATCAAACCTGGTCTTTGCTCTTATTTTCTTCTCTACCTTCCTGTTCTCTCAGACCACCTTTTGTCAGTCAGCCAACCAATAAGCATTTATTAAGCACTTAACCATGTGCTTGGCATTGTGCCAACCTCTGAGATACTCCTCACCTTTATGGTCTGTCTGCTTAGATTCCTAAAATCAAGCCACTACTGGGATTCTTATAATCTAGCCACTGCTTACTCATGTTCAGACTCCTTAAGAGTCTGCCTAATATGACAATGTTCTAATAAACCTTGTCTTTGGCTGAAAGAAGGCTTCTTTTGGGCAGGACCTGCATGTTGTGATTTTGGGGTCCCAGGACCCCTGAACCCCTAAACCACATCATTTTGGTGGCCCTCACCCCTGTACTCCTAACTGAATCAGATCTCAATCTGCCCATCCTCAATCCCAGCTAGCCCACATTATCTGATCCCTCTGTTCCAATTCTTGTCCTGTCTCTTTAACTTGAAAGGCAAATTTTGAGCCTTTGTGCTTTTCAGAATGTTGCATGGGTGAGGTTTTAGGAATTTCATAAATTTGTAGGAGTCAAGCCCTCCAGTAAAATCTTCCACTGGCTCCTTATAGTAGCATGGAGGTGATTCTGGGTCTTTGAAGGCTGACCTAGAGAAGCCCAGGCTCTCCTAAGTCATACCAAGCGGGAAAGGCTTCTTGTCTCTCCAGCTAGAACGTAAGCTTCTTGAAGGCACGGGCTGGGTTTTTGTGGTTTGGTCTTTCTCTATATCCCCAGCACTGAGCATGATGCCTACCTAGCACATAGTAAGTGCTTGATAAATGCTTTTTTGGTTGATGAATTTTGATGAAGAACCAGCTTGGCTAGCTAGGTTCCGAGACTCTCCTTAGCAAAAAAGGTCTAGGGTGAGCAATATTTTGACACCTGCTTGGTACTAGGCACATGCAGAGATCATAGAGACACTGAAGAACCAAAACTGAACCCAACGTTTAGACAGTTATCCAGTGACTTCTTCACAGATAACCTGGGGCTATTTCAGAGCAAGGCAATGAGCATGAGGTGAGAAGGACTGGGAGTTCAGAAAGGAAATGATTTGGGGAAGGGCCACTCAAACATATACCGTGAGTCTCAAGCAATCAATCAGGCGTTTTCTCTTCCCTAAATACACCATCACCTTGCAGTAAGCCTAACACCATTCCTCTGACTCACCATGAACCCACAGACTCTGAAGCATCCATCTTTCTGCTCACAAAGCTTGTGCCAGACTGGCAGTGCCCCTGCTACCCCAAACTGGCCCAACTGATTCAACAAAGCTACTTCTGCTCAAAGGGGTCTATCAATTGAAGCCAGAAGGAAGTACATATGGGGCAGTTAGGTGGTGTAGTGGACAGAACATAGGGCCTGGAGTCAGGAAGACCTGAGTTCAAACCTGACCTCAGATACTTACTAACAGTATGACTCTGGGCAAGTCACTTTACCCTGTTTACCTCAGTTTCCTTGTCTGTAAAATGAGCTGGAGGAGGAAATGACAAACTACTCCAGTATCTTTGCCAAGAAAACCCCAAATGGGGTCACAGAGTCAGACACAACTGAAAAGACTAAACCAACCCTGTTATTTTACAAATGGAAAACTGAGGACCAGAGAGGTGAAGGAGTTTGTCCAAGGTTGCAAATAGTGGATAAGGAAGAGAGCCCACACTCAGAGCCTCTAACTCTAACAAAAAAACAAACAAACAAAAAAAGCAAACACTCTTCTCCCTACCCTGCTTCCTCCTGTGCAAGGGGATTGATATCAGCTGACAATCCTGTGGGTCAAACCCCCCAAGAGTCCCTCTGTGTCAGTGACCAACTTACGGGACCAGCAAGCTGACTTGTGTATTGAGGAAGCTTCCCAAGAGAAGACTCAAAAGCACCACGAGCATGATGATGACACGGAAGTACCTGAAATGACACCAGACGGGAAAAAGTGCTCAGCTTAGCAGGGGTGAGATGATGCCCCAGCAGCATTCAGGACTTGGGGCTCACTAGGCTGCCCTCCTCCTCTGCCTCTTGAAATTCCCAACTCCCTTCAAGGCCCGGGTCAATCATGACTGTCTCAAGAAAACCTTTCTTGATCATGTTCAAGGGTCACCTTCTGTATACTTTGTGTTTTGTATACATCTGGGTAACCCACTGTTTCCTCCCCTCTGCTTCCCTTGTAGCTTCCATGGCTGCCCTCAAGACTCAGCTCCTGGTGCAGGAGGATTTCCCAACCCATCCCCTCCCCACCCCACCCCACCCCCAGCTGCTAACACCTTCTTGGAGATTACCTCCCATTTCCAGTGTCTATATTTGCATGCACACAGCTATCTGCATGCTGGCTCCCCCATTAGAATGTGAGCTTCTGGAGGGCAGGGGCCAAGGTTTCACCTTTCTTGGTATCCCCAACACCTAGTCCATAGTCCAAGAAGATACTGCAGGCATCCAGAGAGAAGCCATTCAAGCACCAAGGAACAAGAGCCACGATCACTCCAGACCTGGCATCTGCTGGACCTTAGAACCTCTGGCTACCAAACTCTCTCATCCTCCGTTCCCAATCCCCGTGATTCAAGATCACCACATGCTAAGGAAAAAACCCTCATTTCAAGGATAAGGAAAGTCAGGCCCAGAGAAGTGCAGCGATTTGTCCAAGGTCACTCAGCTAGTAAATTATCAAACTGAGACTCCAGCCCAGGCCCTTTCACTCTAACGCTTTCCACTGCACTCCCCTGACTCTCTCCTTTGATGATGGATAGAAAGCCATGCATCTGTGGCCTTCCCCTGGGGTTCATTGGTTCTCATCTCAATAGCTGCAGTTCCCTGAAGTAAGATGGCAGCAGCGTCTTTCCTTATCCTTGAAATGGACTGGCTGAGAGAGAACTCTGGTGTACACAAAACCCCAAGATTAGAGGGGGCCCCTCAAGGTCTACTGGCCCATCCCCTTGTGTGGGCAGAATAGCTCCCATACATCCCAGAAGGAGCTGTCCAACCTGTTCTTGAAGCCCACCAGGAAGTTTTTACAACCTTTCTTTATGATGCCATCCAGATGAGGGTTGCATAACCCTTTCACCAGGAAATTCTGGTCCTGTAGCTATGGGGGGTTGGAGACTGGGCAGGTTAGCTCCAACCACTAGGCTGTCTCCTTAGTGAAAGGTGCTGGGCAAACATAAAATATGGTTACCATTGTCCTCCTTTGCATTAAACTAGAACAAGGAAATGTGGTGTCATGGAAGGTCAATGGGCTTAAAGGAAGAAGATCTCAGGTAAAACCCCAGATCCATGTTCAGTCAAGTTCTATTTCCTCTCCGAGCCTCGGTTTGACATCTTTTGTGATTCCCCAATCAATCCATCAACCCACCCACCTACCATGAACCTACCATGGGCCTTACCCTCACTAGCCTCACTGTCTTATCAGAGGGATTAGTCCATGGAGCCCAGAGAAAGAGAGAGAGAGAGAGAGAGAGAGAGAGAGAGAGAGAGAGAGAGAGAGAGAGAGAGAGAGAGAGAAGACTCTGGGAATCCAGTGTCCTCTCAGCGTAGGGCTGCATTATCTTACAAAGAGTCTCAAGTGATTTTGAAGACACTTCTTTGGAAAGAGGCCTTTTTGTTCTCCAAATTAAGTGGGTTTTTTTTCTATAATCAACAAACAATAAGCATTGGGAGGAGGAGTGTTGAATTCTCTGTAATATTCAATCCACTGTGAAATGGTAAAGATGGGGTCCACTGAAGAAGGTCCCTGTAAAAAATGTTCTCTGCTGACATCTTCATCTGGAGGCAGTTAAGTGACACATTGGGCTTGATGTCAGGGAGATCTGAGTTCAAATCCACAAAATCAAACACTTATGTGTGACCCTGGGCAAGTCATTCAATCTGTTTGCCTCAGTTTCCTCAAATGTAAGATGGAGCTAAGAATAGCACCTACCTTTCAAATGAGATGTTTGTAAAACATTAGCAGAGTGCCTGGAACATTGTTGTCATTCAGTTGTTTCAGTTATGTCCTACTCTTTGAGACCCTATTTGGGAGTTCTCTTGGGGTTTGCCATTTCCTTCTCCAACTCATTTTATAGATGAGAAACTGAGGAAAACAGAGTTAAGTGACTTGCCCAGGGTCACACAGCATACATATCTGAGGCCAGATTTGAACTCATGAAGATGAGTCTTCCTGACTCCAAGTCTGGCACTCTATTCAAACATAGTAAATATTTAATAAATGTTTGTTTCCTTCCTTCATCAAGGATGCCCTCAATTCACATGTAGATGATTCTCATAAATAATTTGCCTAAACGGGAGAGGAGGCATATAGGTTGGTAGTTGTTGGGGTTCTTTCTGTCATCTTTTGAGGATATTAATAAGTCTAAGACATTTTCTACATCTCTGGTATCTTTCCCCTTCTTTGAGTACCTTGGAATCAATCTCTCAATAACCTCACAATTACATCACTTCCAGCTTAGATTTTCTCTGTATGCCCTTAGCACAGTCAGGCTGATTTTCCTACTTTTGTTCTCTACAGGGAGAGCCCTAGCTCAGCTCCAAAGGACTTGTACCTGGGGATGATGGAGGACATCCCAGAAATGTGTGGTGTTGGGTCCACAGTCTACCAGGGGTGGGGACCCTTGCTAAAGAACATGCAGAGCAGAGGCTCCTACGTGATCTCTTTGTTAACCATCACTGGGAGCTACATTGAAGAAGATTGATGATGGGGCCAAGAGGTTGCCTACTCAGTAGGTGAATAAAGGAGAAACGATTTCCACTCTTTCTCTTTTTCAAATAGGTGGCTTGGGGCCCTGACAGCTCTACCTTGGACTTCTAGAAAGGGGGAGGGAAAAGGGATCCCCATGTCTTCCCCTCCTCCCCAGCACCACCTGTGGTGACTGCATAAACATGGCAGGAAGAATACGTGTTCACCTAGATCCAAGACTAGAGCTCAAGTTGCTGGCTACCTCTCCTGCTTTATGTTTCTCCTCCAGAGTGTAGATGGTCCTTATCTTGATGGCAACCTTGTAAAGAGATCAGAAGAGCCTCGTTCCAGGTCCTGACTGGCCAACAACAACTTCTCAGAAGAGGAGATGGTCACCACCAAAAGTTTGGTCCAGATGTAATGGGTAAGAAAGCCCAAGCCAGGCTATGGATTGCCAGGAAATCCCAACTTGTGAGCTACCCAAAAAACCTGAGTCACAGGTAAAAGGAAAGTACCTGTTCAGCAGTCCCGAAAACCCCCTAGGAGTCTTTACCCCCTGGGAGAATATAAGAAAAGTAATGTGTTATGGTGCCGTGTTGACTTGTTTGTCAATGTGCTTGAGCCTGTGGCGCATCAAGCATTTCTTTTGAAGTGGATATTAACAGGTCCTAGACTTGACATCTACTGCTTCATACACTGAGTGATTTTCAGGAAGGGACCTTGCCCGTCCCTTTTGGGGAGATGCTACACATTAGTCAAATCTTAGCTTTGTTTAAGGGAAAAAATGAGCCAGAGAGTATGAGAAAAGAGTGACCTGTCTCTTTTAGAGGTCAGGCTCCCAAGTCTGCTAGAGCCAGGAGTCAGGGCCCCCTGGGCTGGAGGTAACATCTTGACTATGAACACATCCCTAAGATTTTGACAGTAGGGCAAGGAGAGCCCTTTCCCAGCAAGGTTCTGCTCTGGACTCACACAGGTCCCAAATTCATCCCAAGACAGCCTGACCACAATAAAAAGTGACCAGGTCTATCTCTCTGATTTGTTATAGTCCCACCCTAGAGTAGAAATTAGAGGGAAATCTCTTAAACAGAAGGTTAATTTAGTCCAGGGTCTCCTCAAAAGGGATTAAGCAAGGTCCTTTTTCAGGAAAGGCATTCAAGAGAAAAAAATAAATATTAGTTAGGGCAGCTATTTATTTCCTCCACCACAAAAGAGGCGTTCAAGATACAAAAGCCTCATAAGCACACATTAACCAAAACATAAAATAACCAATCATGACCGTTTTATGCCCCTGAGAGGGAAAGAAAACAGATGAACCCAGACTTCCCATTCACCTAAGCTTCATACTTTCAGAGCAACAGGCAAGCCCAGCTCTCCTGGCCAGGCCCAGCTCTCTGGACCCTTCAGAAGCAAGATGTGCCCGTCCGGGTGGTCATCTTCTCCTCTCAGAAGCACAAGTTCAGGAACCACCTGCCGCTGAGTAGCCAGCATCGACTCAAGAACTCCCCAGTTCTCAAGCTCATGAACAAAGCCACAATTCCAAAGAAACAGAGCCAAGGCTTCCCATTCCTCTCACAGCCTTCTGTGGGGGTGACGTGCCCTTGACTCAGCTGCTCCCAGTCACCACAACCACCGTCAAGGAGTTGCTGCATCATCACAATGTGCCTGTCCACATAAAACACGTCTCCCAAAAGAGGGCTCAAAGGGGGTGCTGTGAGCCAGCCCCACGATGCTTAGATTGTCCTTGTTACTAGGAAGAATTCAAGGGGGGAGGGGGGCCCAGAGAGAAACAATTGTTTAAAAGGCATGAATCAAAGGTATTAAATTGGAGGCAAAATAAAATATGCCATATGTAAAATAGTGCTACTTTTCATGGCGGCAGCTGCTTAACCACACACACACAAACACACGTACACACACCCCAAACACATACACATGCCCACTCCATATACACACATATACACACCGCACACATTACATCACACACATACACACCCCTCCATACCTCCTATAATCTGTACATGGCCAGGAGCGCCAGGGGCTGCCGCGCCTGCTGCGTTGCCCAGCAGGGACAGCTGAGGGTGGGGGAGTGGTGGAGACCGTCACAGATGTGACGGGCGCAGGTATTTCCAAGTGCAACAGTTTCTCTATCAAAGACGACAGGAAAGAGCTTGGGGAACACACTAAATAGCCTCACTTGGAAGGCATTCCCCTGAGGACGGTCAGTCACCAAGCCTTGCGTAAGTGC